CCTCAGTGCTGCACACAGAGTACTCAGGTATATCAAAAACACAGTTGGCCAAGGTATTTTCTATCCTAGAAACTCTTCATTACTTTTAAATGGTTTCAGTGATAGTGACCGGGCTGGTTGTATAGATACCAGGAAAAGCATTACAGGCTATGCATTTTTTCTTGGTTCTTCTTTAATTTCCTGGAAATCCAAGAAACAAACTACAGTTAGTAGGTCCTCTGCAGAATCTGAGTATAGAGCTTTAGCCTCTACTACTTGTGAGACACAATGGTTACTTTATCTTCTTAATGATTTACAGATTTCTCATTCTTGTCCTATGGTGATTTTTTCAGATAGCAAATCTGCATTAGCCATTGCCAACAACCCGGTTCAACATGAAAGGACCAAACACATTGAAATCGACTGCCACCTAGAGAAAAGCTTTCCAAAGGCATCATTGATTTGAATTTTGTTCTTTCCAAAAGACCAAGTTGCTGACATTTTTACCAAGCCATTAGGCATTCAACTTTTTCATGACAATGTATTAGTCTTTTATATGTAAAACACATTTTTAGTTATCTCATTTTCCTTAGCACTTTAGGTACAAACCCTTGGTATAAATACCAAGGTAAACACATGTACAACGATTCATTCATTCATAATTCATATCTGAACTTTTCTTTTTCTCTCTCTATCAGACGATTCATCTTTCGCCTTTGTTCTTCTTTTTCTTTTAGATCTGTTACACAGATTCAGTTGACAATTGCAATTAATCCAACGATGTTGTGGACACTACCTTCAAAATGATGATCAGAAAAGCATTTATTATTTCACACACCAATTAAACGTTAGTTATCCATTTGCTTTTCATCTTATTCCACTTCCAAATATATATATATATATATATTTAACATAATTTTTAAATTAAAAATCAATCCTATCAGTACGTATTTACAATAAAAATTATTGTTCTTTCATTTCGGTATTTGTAACTACCAATCATCATTTTACTATTTATCTATCAAATTATAATTAATTATTATTATTTGATATAACATCAGTTTGTATTACAATGATAATTGATAAATAATCATTAATCCTCCCAATATATTATTTAATTAATGAAAATCTACTTAAATTACAGTATATTGCATCCTTATTTATCTGTCACGTGATAATATATTAATATTTTTTACTCACCTTATTTTATATTAAAATAATCATTAATCCTCCAATCCATTGCTTTAATCAATTAAACAAAACAATCAATTGAAAGTATATGTATTCTTAGTATTTTGTTTTGATACTTTTTATTTAATTTCAAAACTATTAAATTGTGGCATTAGGTTTAAATTATCAGCTATGCATGTATATAATNATTACACTATTTTGTCAATATTTTTTTTACCTTTTGCACGTGAAATATTTGTTTTCGTTTGTAGAATGAGAGAGTTGTAGTAAACTTTACTCCAAATGAAATCTTGAAAGCAAGTGAAGTAATGAAATATCTCTACAAAGAAAGGTAGGGCTCAATTTTGGTTTTCCATTCACTTCTACCTTTAGAAAGAATTGTTGAAAAATCAATTGAAAATGAGACTTTGACCAACTTTTGATTGGATTACTGACTTCGCATCAAATGAATTAGGAGCATCTCACCAGCACACGAGTCAACATTTAACTCTGAGTTTGACTGTGCTCGAGTTAGGTTCGAGCATTTCATATTCAAACTTGAGTCGAGTTCGAGCTTATAGCTCTGTAAGCTCAAATGCTCAACGAGTCTCTGAAATAAACATCGTAAATCTTCTCACTATTCATTCAGCTCGATTCCCATTCGCCGAACCTTCGGTCGGTTATTGTTTCTCTCTCGTCTCCATTACATCGCTAAACTTCAATTCTATCCAACTTCTACTCTCTCATCTACTTCCTATATTCTATAAATTCACTGTAAGAACTGTAGTGTATGTAGTCACTCCCCACATTGCATTTGAAATTTTCATTGTTACAAGTTTTTTCTTCAGAAACACGATTTTCGAAAGCTATAACCTAACGCGCGAACCGGATCACCAGAGCTCGTGTGATCTCGTCCGGCAAAACCGGTCGCTGCACACACACACATATATATATACACATTTTCTGCATATTTTTTTTTATTTTTTTTTTTTTTTTTCGAAAACCTATCTACATTGATGCTTCGGTCGGGATTTGCTCCGCCTGACTCATAACCCTCAGCAACGAGCCGGCCTTCCTCTGCCCCCTCTCTGTCCCACTCTTCGAAACCTCCACCAGATTCTCGTACACCCCATACTGTAGGGCGGCAAGCACCAGATTCCTATTTCTCGACCCGAGCTCCAGCAGGACAGCTGTCGCGCACTCCCTGTTCTTCGGAGTCCCGTCCCTTATCAAACTCACGAGCGTCTCGATAAACGACAGCCTACCGAGCTCCTTCCTCCCTTCCTGGCTCGAAGCCAGAACCAGCAGTATCGAGAGCGTCTCGTTCACCATCTCGATCTTCTCGTCAACCAGCATTTTTAGCAAGGGCTCGACTATGCCAGCCTCGACTGCCCTCGACTTATTTCCCGGGTTCAGACAGAGGTTGAAAAGGGCAGTCATGGCATCCTTTTTCCCGCGGATGGTCCCGGTTCTCAGTAACTCGACAAGTGGCGGAATCCCGTTCAAAGTTCCGATTTTGACCTTGTTCTCGTCGAGCATCGAGAGGCTGAAGAGCGCGGCTGCCGAATTCTCTTGCGCCCCGACTTTTCCCTTTTGAAGAATCTCAATTATAGCCGGGATTGCTTCTTCCTTATCCGAGATCAGCTTTTTGTTGCACTCGTCGATCGAGAGGTTCAAAAGTGCCGTGACCGCGTGTTCTTGGATTTTCGAGTCCGGGTAGGAAAGCAGGCTCACGAGCCGTTTGATTCCCCCGGAGTTTGCGATTATTGTTCGGTTATCGGGACTTTCCTTTGAGAGGAGTCGGATTTTCTTGACGGCCTCTCTCTGCTCGTCGAGCTTGCTCGACGAGAGGCTTTTCACGAGCGACGATATTTTTTTCTCGACGTCCGCAGTCGAGTGGGCCGACTCGTCGCTTGCGGAGGGTGATTTCTTTTTCGGGAGTTGGAATTTGTTTTGCTCACACCATTGAAGGATTAGGTTCTTGAGAGCGTAATTCGAGGTTAACGATAGGTGGGAGAGGACTTGCCCGGTTTTCGGGCATGTCCGGTGGTTCGAGTCGAGCCATTGCTGTATTCTGTCTCGTTCGTACGTCTGCAATTTGTACTCGACAAGAAAAACGCGATTCAAAAAAAATAAAAAATAATAATAATAAGATTAGTTTTATTTCAATTTCTCGTCTTTCAGGATAAACTTACCTGGCCCGTGGCAACAATAACGGGGTCCGTCATAATCTCTAATGTAATCGGGCACAAGAACTCGTTCGGGACAGCTATCGACATGCACTTGGTGAGGGATTTGGGCACGTCAGGGTCGTCGAGAATCCCGTTTTCGGCCACGCCAGCTAACTTCTTGAACTTGTTGAGAAGGTTTATGATTTGCTGCGTGCTCTCGGCCCCAAGACCTCGCCTTTCCTTGACGAGCTTTCGGATAGCGAGAGTTTCGTGGGCGAGCTCGTTTGGCGTGTGGAGGGACAGCTTGTTGGCCAGCCGTTCCACGCTGGCGATGCTAGCGTTCGTCTCGTTGTTCGTTGAGAGGGCTACCATTAGGTCCATTGTGAGCTCGATGTCTTGCGTGTCGGTTCTTTTCTTGGCCCTTCTTAGCTGCATTCGCAGTAATTCGACCTGAAAAATTACGCGGACCGTTGTTGAGTTTTTTATTATCTCTTACACGGCTTCTTCGTTCCGATTTCATGATTACAGAGATAATTACATGATTAAGATTTTGCGAATTTCGGCGAAGGGGCAATTTTTTCGAGGATCGGAATTATGCCATATCAAGAAGTTGAAGGAGAATAATAGTGAATTTAAAAATTACAAATTTTTGCATGAG